ATGCGGACCCCGTCCAAGAGCCAGGAGTTCGACCAGACGATCGTCCTCGACCTCGACCGGCAGGCGGCGCTCGCGGACGCCCTGGTGCAGCTGGGGCTGGAGCGCGGCGTGGGGCCCTTGCTGGATCTGACGCCCAGCGCCCTGCGCCGGGCCCTGGACGAGGCCGCGGCTGCCTGGCGCCTGGGGCCCCATCGGGCCGCTCGACGCCTACCGCTTCCGGCACGGGGGCGAGCGTCGACTTCGCGACCGGCGCCCGGCGGCTGGAGGAGATCCAGCGCCGCGGGCGGTGGCGGTCCGCGCGGAGCCTCCGCCGCTACGAGCACGGGGGGCGACTGGCCGACCTCTTGCGCCGCCTGCCGCCCGACGTGCAGCGGGCGGCCGCGGCGGCCGCTCGGGAGCTCCCCGACGCGCTGCGGGGGAGGCGGATGCCGTCTTTGGGCCGCTGAGGGCGCCGACCGTCGCCGTGTTCCTCGAGCTGTTCGCGGGCTCGGGCCACCTGTCCGACGCCGTGGAGCGGGGAAATGTCCCCACATTGCGGTGGGACATCCTGCACGGCCCCGCCTACGACCTGCGCGACCCCAGGAGCGCCCGTCTCATTCGAGGCTGGATACGGGCGGGGCTCGTCTGCGGCCTGCATGCTGGCTTTCCTTGCGAGACCTTCTCGCGGGCGCGAGACCGCCCCAACGGCCCTCCGCGGCTCCGGTCCCAGGAGCACGTCTGGGGCCTGCCCAGTCTCCATCCCGAGGGCGCCGATTTCCAGAAGGTGAAGTGGGGCAACCTGTACGCGCGGCTCACGATATCCTTCTGCGTGCTGTGCTGCCAGTGTTTCGTCCCCTGGTCCGTCGAGAACCCCGCGCTGAGCTACGCGTGGCAGCTGCCGCCGATGCTGTCCCTGCTCCAGCGCCGGCAGGTCACGACCCAGGTGATCGAGTACTGCCGGTTCGGGACGCCCTGGAGGAAGAGCACCAGGATTGCTGCGTTTCTCCTCGACTTGGCACCCTTGGCCAAGTTCAGGTGTACAGGGCCCGTCTGTGTCCTCACTGGGCAGCGGCATCAAGAACTGTCCGGCAAAGACGCATCGGGCAGGTTCCGCACTAGATCGGCGGAAGCATATCCTCGCAAGCTCTGCAGCACCCTCGCCAGAGCCTATGCCGACGAGAAAGCCAGGTCCCGGGCAGGTCAGTTCTCCGTTTTGATAGGGCGTGCCGCTCGAACGTCTTCCGACGCTTGATTAACAATTGTTGTATTTTCGGCGTTGCCAGTCTAGCTGTGCATTTTGCAGCATTTTGGATGTGTCCGAAATTTCAGTTGATGTCCGTGGCCGCCTACGGATCGGAGATCCTTGGCGGCAGCCTCTTGCGTCGGCAGCGTCTCGAAGCCTCGCCACCTGGCCTGCCCGAGCTGGAAAAAGGGAGCATAAGTCGTTCTCCGAACAGGGTTGCTCCTTGGGAAGCGTCGCTGGCCGCCCGTCTGCGATCTTCCGTTGACGTTTCGCTCAAGCTCCCTCCCTCCCCCCCTTGCTTTCACTCTATCTTTGCCGGGATGTGTCCGAAATTTCAGTTGATGTCCGTGGCCGCCTACGGATCGGAGATCCTTGGCGGCAGCCTCTTGCGTCGGCAGCGTCTCGAAGCCTCGCCACCTGGCCTGCCCGAGCTGGAAAAAGGGAGCATCCTCCTCCTCCTCCTCCTGCCCCGCCCCAGGGCTGGCAAAGCTGCTGCTCCCTCGACGAGGCCCGACGCGTCGGCCCCCCCGGGGGGCCCCTGGGGCTCCAGGCCTGGCGCCTGCGGTCCGCGGGCCCCGCCGAGGCAGATCGCGCAACCCCAGCCCCCCTTGGGGCCCCTGACCTCCGTGGTGCGAGGTCGCCCCATACAGTGGGGCCCATGCCAAGAAACGCCCTGCTTGCTCCAGGGTGCCCTGGGTTTCTTAGGTTTCGATGTTTTTTGGTTTACGGAAAGCGTGACGTTCCCACACCAGAAACCCATGGACGTCCTGGGGTCTCAAGGGTTGTGTTTCCTGTGGAAGGCTTTTTGTGGACGGGCCTCCGTTGTAGTGGGCCCGAGGGTGCCTGAACGCCCTCGGCACGGCCAAGCTCGTACGATGGCCCCTTTCGCCATACATCTAGCACGGAGGGCGCCGGATGCGGAGCAGAGACACTCTTAGATACCGCCCCCAAGCGCGGTGAATTATAGCATCGTTTTGGTACCTCCTGTTCCTCCTCCTCTTCCTCCTCCTCCTCCTCCTCTCCTCCTCCTCCTCCCCCTCCTCCTCCCCCTCCTCCCCCTCCTTCCCCAGTCTCCTCTTCCTCCCCCTCCTCCTCCTCCTCCTCCTCCTCCTCCTCCTCCTCCTCCTCCTCGTCGTTCCGTAGCCATTTTGGCTCAAGTCCGTAGCGTTGGCTCGGACTTGACATTTTGGCAGGAGGGAACCGACGGCCCTCACTGCTCCCGCACCTCCCCAGTGCCTGCCCAGGCTGGAGGTGCCGTTTTTCTTCACTACGCACTCCACGCTCGGGACCGTACCTCCCGATCTTGCTCTGTTTCCAGACACTGACTCATGGTGGATGGCGGACGCATGCCGAAGCTTGTTTCTCGCAGGGCATGGGCCGCGCCGCGGTTATGGCGATGGTGTGTTCATCCGCGGACAGGTGAGAAGTGGTGGAACAGAGGTGACCTCAATGCTTGCTCAAGCTGCCAGTGCAACAAAGGTGGTGCTTTTGGATGCCCCAAGCCTCTGCAGACGGCGCCGAGTTTCAGGGCCCCAGCCATGGGACGAGATAGGCAGAGGCAGAAGGCAGCAGTCTCCAACTACGCAGTCGAGAGAGACAAGCAGCTTAAGGCCAAGGACCTTGAGATTGCGAAACTTCGAGAGCAAGTTCTGGCGGTAAAGAATGGGCAGACATTGGATACGGACACCAGTGACAAGACCGACACCGACCAGAAGTGCTTCAATGAGATCAGCCAGACCCTTAGGGAGCTGGGCAACCTCACGGAGCCTGCTGTGGTGGCGGCGCGAGAGCAGTTGGAAGCCGAGCGAACGGCGATCAAGTCTAAGATCGTCAGCAGCAAGCCGCACTCCGCCCAAATGCACCACTACACCACTCGCATCGACGAGTTGCTCAAGAGCAGGTTGCAGCAGGAGGAGACACTGGCAGATCTGGAGATCCAGAAGGTGGAGCTCGAAGCCAAGATCGACGGCGTCAAGAAGTCGATTCACACACTGGCTACTGACATCACTGAGCTGGAGCATCAGCGATTCGCGGTCTCGGCAAAGCTGCCGACGCCTCTTCCAGAATCGTACTCTCTCAAGACCATGGTGCCTGCCCTGGACCTGCCAGTCGACAAGCTCGGCCAGCTGTTCGAATCCGCAGGGGGCGACGCCGCTCTCCTTGACCAGGCCAAGTCCACGTTCGAGGCACTTCGACAGCTACAGGCCAGAGCAGATGCAGCCAAGGCCTCCTCGGCGTCTGCGCAACAACAAGCTGCCGAATCAGGGCCGCCAGGCCAACAGCCAGGGGGGGGGCCCAAGGACCTGGCCGCGCTGCCAAACAAGATGAAGCCGTGCGAGTTCCTGTTCCAATGGATACTGATGATAGTAGTAGCTCGCGTCAATTCTTTCAAGCATGCACTGATGAAGAACCACCTGAAGACGACGACCAGGTGCGTGGGATGTGCAAGCGATACGCTGAAGCTGCTGAAGCACTGGCCAAGCGGCGCAAGAGACATTAAAGGGCTGGGTCGTTCGACCACAGCTCTATCTCCCCCTCATGCTGAGCTCGATGCAGCTTTGGAAAACGTACGTCAAGGACGCAGCGCACACGGAGATCGCAGCGAGCGGCGTGTGCCAGCAAGAGGTATACTACAGCCTCGGCCCAGCCTCAGTCGGAAGGTCAGTGTCATCTGGTTCGCTGGCATCATATATATATGACTACGATGTGCGTGCTGGATTTTCTTCAAGGGGAAGCTCAGGAAGTTTGCAGCGAACAACGTGGGCTGCCTTTTCCGATGTCAGAACGGGCGTTAGAACGCACGTTGCTGCAAAGCGTTAGGTCGCAAAGTCCTGCAGGCCAGGTTCGGCAAACGCATGCTCAGTCGCCACGTGCTGGACAAACTCCCATACCCAGGTGCTCCTCGAGCCTGGGCAGGGTTCTTTCGTCGCCAGTCAGAACGCAAAGTCCTGCTGGCCAGTTTTGGCAATCGCAGGCTCAGTCGTCACGTGATGGAACAAATCCCATGTCCAGGTGCCTCTCGAGCCTGGGGTGGGTTCATGCGCCGCCACTTGCTGGATTGGCATGGTTTATTATGCGGCTGGTGGTCAGTAGTGACGTCTACTCCAAGTACCTCTGCATCAGGCGGATCGCAATGCACGCTGGGAACAGGGCCAGGATCTACCACGCGAAGGTGAGGTCTAACATCAGATGCAGGCCAAATGCCATCCCCAGTCCCAGCGCCGCCCCTGCAATCGAGAGGCGTAGGAATCGGACGGATGAATGGGGCCCTGGGGCCGAGGTCCTGGTGAGGACTGCCGGTCGGACGGGCCCTGGGAACCACGGGGCCACCAGACCTTGCAAGGGCCCCAGATCGCTGAGCCACCCACGTTCACCCTCGGGCCATCAGGACGGGCCAAGCCAGAGGACGGTCAAGGGCCTCAGCTGCAGATATTTGCGCATCATCGTGGTAGCGACTTGCGCCAGGGAGTTTTAACTTGCGAAGGGTACTGCAGTACAAAGGCCAGCAAGGCCAGATAAGGCCTCTGTTGCAATGCCCAATCCTGACTCGTCACGCAGCAGGGCCGTGAGCTCGATCGTGACGGCCAATGTGACATCGCATGGGCCGCTAATGGAGATGTTGAAGTTGCCGTGGGCTCAGGCATGCGTAATATGCGCACAAGAACACCATGCAGACCAAGAGCGACTCGCAGACGTCCAGCATCAAGCAGTTCGAGCAGGATTAGCAGGCCTTTGGGCCCCAGCCCCTCAGTCAGACAAAGGAGGAACGCATGGAGACATGGCCATCCTGGCACCGACCAGGGCGCGCGCGACCCTCGCTCCAGGGAGGTCTTCAGCCGAATTGATTTCAGGCAGGGCCCTCGCGGCCCACGTGCGCTGGGGCATCAAGCATGGCATCGCCACGATATCACTCTACTTGCGCGATGGCCAGGGCCTCTCGGACGCCACTGTGGATATTCTTAGGCAGGTCGCCATATATATATATATAAATATATATAAACATATATATATATATATATATATATGTGAGCTCGAGGCCCGAGAGCAGCCTGTGCTGCTGGCGGGAGACTGGAACATGCACGTGGATGACCTGCGGCACTGGCTCAACTCCATCGGTGGCATCGTCATCCACCCCAATTGCCCCACATGCCTGCAGGCGAAACCTGGAACCATGTACGACTACACGTGCATGCATCCGAGGGTTGCGTGTCGCGCAGGCAGGGCTTTTGTGCATGAAGACTCGGACTGGTTTCCACATGTGCCTGTCAGAGTTCCAATGCAGGATGCAGAACATGATGTGGGTCCGAGTGCCCGGTCAGCCTGCGTCCGTTGACACGATTCCAAAGCCAGGATGCGCGAGGTCCCCGCCCGTCGTAGAGTGGGACATGGCCAGGGAGCCCATTGCCAGGGCCGACAATGCTGATAACCTTGCCGAAGCCTGGGATGCGGTCCTGACGCAGATAGAAGAAGAAATGTTAGACAGGCGTGATATCATAGGCCACGACCGAGCGCGCTACCTTGGCAGAGCGGGGCCCCCAATTTGGTCTTGGAAGAAAGTGGCCCCACCCGAACACAAACCATCTCAGAGGCTCCAGGCATACAAGTTGATCGGGCGCTGAGTTCGGCACATGCGAGCTTCGAAGTTGAGGATGACCCTGGCTGTGGAGAGGCTCCAAACAGATGTAGACGTACCAGGTAAATTTCCTTGCCACATGCTGCCGACTAAGCACACTACTGATAATTATTCAAGCTGGGCACGCTCCCTATCTACCTTTGGAGCATACGACGCTGGGCTCAGCATGACCGATGACATGGTTGCAAACGGCAAGGAGCTCGAGCTATTTGTTAAGTTGGCATGGGACCTCCAGGGCTTCTTCCACAGAGCGTCTAAAGCAAAATTGATCATGCAGCACCTGGACGAGGACGAACGCGCTCGAGCCCGAGACTTTTCTCACCAGTTCTGTTGCGACGATTTCCTTGAGACTGCACAGTTCGTCATAGCCAAAGTTGAGAGGGTGGTTCAAGCTATAGGGGCATTCAAAACGGCAGAATGGACGGAGTGGGCAAAGGCATCTTTCAACAATGGAGCGAGACAGGCGCACCGTTTCTCGAAGCTCAGGGGCCTGCAGGAAGTGCTCGAGCACACCCAGCAGCCGCAGCCTTTTGAGATGGCAGGTTCCTGTGTGGATACCTGGGCTGAGATCTGGGCCACACATGCCTCAAGACGCCTGAAGTTGCCACCTGACTTCTCGACATGGAGCCAGCTTCCAGAAGTCAGCGTGGAGGACCTGCGCATTGTCTTGCGCAAGTTCAAAATCAACTCAGCACTTCGACATGTCAACCTTCATCGCAAGGCGATGGATTTTGTATCAGACTATGGACTTCAGCCACTTCTACTCCTCTTGCAGGCGTGCGAGAGGCTATGTTGCTGGCCATATAAAAAGGGTGCAGACACGCCTTGTTCGATTGCCAAAAGCATCAGGGGGGCACAGACTGGTGGCATTAATCAATACGATTGTGCGTATATGGGCCCGACTCCGCATACCTATTTCGAGGAGATGGGAGCGCGATAATCAGAACCCTGACCTCTGGGGAGCGAGGCCTGCCGCAGCATCATCAGATCAGCTTTTTCACACAACCTGTAAGCAGAAGTTGCACGATACAAAGGACACACGTCAGTAACAGTGCTGATCGACATGTACAAGTGCTTTGAGATGATCAAATTGCAGAAGCTAGTCGGCTTCGCCTACGTGCTGCGATACCCACTACGACTCCTCTGGCTTATCTTAGCCAACTACCAATGTCCACGAGTGGTACGAGCGTGGGGGTCGATTTGTTATGAATATGTATCTGCCCAGGGCATTCTAGCAGGATGTACACACGCGACAACGATGGTCCACTTGTTACTGCACCAGCTTCTACTTCGAATGAGGGACCTCTACGACGCAGTCGTGCCGCGCGTGCTCATGGACGACGCGGGATTCCAATGGACGGGAGAGGACCCCAAACAAGCTAAGGTTTTGTTCGCGGCAGTCAAGTACTTTACGCAGGGTGCTTTTGAGCTGGGATTGGCTATCCAAGCGGCTAATAGTGGATGCGTTGCGACAAATGCGGCTGCCAAGAAAGTAATCACGCCTTTCGTCAAACGACTCAGGATGAAGATGTACCCTCACATGCGTAACCTCGGACATGATCTTTCTGGGCCTAAGGCCAAACGGGTGATTGAGAAGAAAAGAATGACAGGATTGATGGCTAGGAAACCCAAGCTTCGTGCCCTTGTGAGAGGCGCGAACCACAGAGTCCGAACCATATATTGCGGCTGTGCTCGCGGGAGCGCGCCAACACGTGTCTATCACAGCTTGGCTTTCCGCACAGGCGGATGAATTCTACGACCCGATATACGACGAGACGATATCGCTAGTTGTCAGATTTGCCAGCACGATCTGGGACAACAGATGTTCAGTTGCCGACCTTCAGGGAGCTTTCTTGGTCATGAAGAGTGATTTTGGAAATAAACTCACATGGGCCAAGTGCCATGGACCCATGAGTGCGACTCTGCTGTCGCCTTCAAGAATTGGCTGGGTTATGATATCTGCGCACCAAGCCGTCGATGATAAAGGAACATTGGTTTCTCTGCTGGGCACGCCGCCCATGGAGGTCAAGAGACTGCTGCAGAAGTCCGTAGAAACATGGCAAATGAAACGCATACTGGCGCACATTCCTGAAGCATTTGGTTCTGAAGAAGTATGGCGGCGAGGCCTCAGACTTGCAATATTACGCATCAAGGACGATGTCAGGAGAGGCTGTGCGCGACTACTACTGGGTCCAGGGTGCTGGCCGCCATCGAGGAAATTTGCAGCAGGATATCGAGCGACGCCCGCCTGTGTTTTTTCGCCGGACCCCAACGCTACACTAGGGCACCAGCTGTACCAGTGCCCACTTTTAACCCAGCCCCCAGGGGATCTTGATGTGGAGCCCCTTCCAGATGACATAATAGAGCACAGAGAAGCTTTAAGGGACTCGGGGTACTCTGGACTACAGGCTGACTGGGACACTCTGGAGCTTGCGTATGGGCTCCCTTTTTATTCCCTCAGTGTACCAGAGGTCCCCGAGGCTCCCACGGTTCATTGGGGTGCAACGACGGGGCCCTGGGGCAGGCGTATTTACGCCGACGGTTCAGGGCTTGCGAATGCAAGCCCAGGACTTAGACGGTGTGGATGGGCTGCCGTCGAGGTGGACCAGTGGGGCGTGCCCCACAGGGCTCTCTACGGGCCTTTGCCTGGGCGCCAGACGGCGCCCCGCGCCGAGAGACACGCGGCGCTGCGAGCGATCGAAGTTGCGCCCCGAGGGGCCGAAGTGGTCACTGACCACCTCCAGCTTGTTCACGAAGGGTGCTCATGGGATCCAGATCTGGCGGCTGCCCGCAATGTGCATGCAGATATATGGCGCAAGATATTCGAGCTTCAAGGCGAAGGCCTACAGAGGCCAAGTTTCCGTTGGGCCCCAGCGCACCGAGAGCCAGAGGACATACTTTTGTGCACGAGCTCAGACATCCAAGACCACCTTGGACATGTATGGGCCGATTTGTTCGCCAGACTAGGGTCGAGTATGCACCGGGTCCCAGATGTTTATGTCAAGGCCGAGAAGGCCCAGATATAAAAAGCACCAGCTAACCTGGGATTTTTTAGCGCGTGCCACCCGGATAATTAGCATTGCGGGAGATCAGGTTGAAGTCCCGCATCCGCCCCCCAGGCAGGCCCCCAGCACAGCGCCGAGGCTCTCGCTCTCACAGCACGAACTTTGTTTTGTTGAAGCTCGCGGCGAATGGAGATGTAGGCGCTGCAACATGGCAGCGACTACCGACTAGACCCTCAAGGGTCTGCGAACGGGGGGAAGTCGTAAAACAAAAAAAAAGCAGAGCAAGGCCTGGCTGTCGCGCCAGACTCGACGGCCGCAGCGGGGCCTGCCCTGGAGCTTGCAAACACGATCCTGGGGCCCCATGCCAGGAGTCTCCTCCTTCGAGCCTCCTGTCGTCCTGGGGCCCACCTCTTCCTACGCCTGGTCCAGGGGCCCCTCGGGATCCGACTCAAAAGACCTCAAAGTTTTTAGCGACCTACAGCACCGACCTGTGCGCAATGGGAAAATAACAATCTGCCTTGACTGTGCGTGCTTTTTGGTGCTACCCGATGGCTGTTGTCGGGGACTAAGACGGACGTGCCGAGGCGTCTCGCAGGTGCAGACGACACGCATTGGTCACCTCAGAAAGCTTGCTCGCGCTGAGAGTGGCCGACATCCAGGCACTGGTATCCAGCTCGAGAGCAGGCCCGAATCTCCCGACCGTGCAAGCGCCACCGCCCAGGGCTCTTCTGTTCCTGCTGCCGCGGCAGCTTCGAGCATCGTGGTGGGTGGTGGTGCTGGGGAGGAAGATCCGGGCTCATCTGACTAATTTTCTCGGGGCCGCGCATTTGTGTGGCCCCACTTCCACATCCTGGCAATATTTTGCCCTCTGTCGGCTTGTACCGCAATGTAGCGTCTGCGCTCCGCGGCGCCTGGTTTGCAGGCGCCACCCTTCGGAGCTCGGCCTGGCGCCCTGACGGTCGCCGTATTCTAGCAGGAGGGTCGGCATCTCTGCCCACCCTCCCGCGATCCCCCATCCCGAGCTGCAGCTATCGATTCGACTGCTGCCGCTGCACCGCTTCCCGTTTCCTCCTCCTCCTCGTCCACCTCCTCCTCCTCCTCCTCCTACTCCTCCTCCTCCTCCTCCTCCTCCTCCTCCTCCTCCTCCTCCTCCTCCTCCTCCTTCCCCCATCCCTTTTCCATAATTCCTCCTTGGCGAACACCCAGGCGTGTCGGTAGGGCGGGCTGGGCGTTTCGCTTGAGACGTCGTCACTGCTCATGGTCCTGAAGTTCGGAGTGTGGGGCAGCTTCGAGGATGGAGGGCGGGTCCTTGTCAGGATCTGGCTCTCGCTCCAGCGCCCGCACGTTCGCCGGTAAAGCTTGCCACGGCCTCAGGGCTGGAGGGCGGGCGGTCTTCAAATTGTAGCTCCCGCGCCAGCGCCGCGCACGTTCGCACTCAAAGCTTGCAGCAGATTCCGGCACGGAGGGCGGGTGCATGTTTCGCATGTGGTTTTCGTGCTGTCGCCGTGCACACTCGACCTCAAAGCGTGCAAGAGTTTCGTTGGCGTCGAGGGCGGCTCCTTCCAGCATTCGCTTTCAATCTGGCGCTGCGCACATTCGCAGGAACGTGTGCAGGAACTTCACGGGTTGAGGGCGGGTCCTAAGGCTTGGCGACGCCCTCATACGCCTCAGCGACGCGCGTATGCGTCCTATAAGTTTGCAAGATGTTGAAGGAGTTGTAGTGTTGAAGTCGCAAGAATTGCGTTCTGGTGCGATTTAGCGTTGTCAAGAAGCAACAGTCCTAATCCCCAGGAGTGGTGTTTCGGCACGGTTCTAGACTGTCAGGACGCAGCAGTCATGTTGATTTGCGGCGTTGAAGTCTACGGACCTGTGCTTTTGCACAGTTTTGAGGAGTCTCAGACGGTTGCCCTTCAATGAAACACTTCGCGCAAGGATTTATCGGCGGGTACCGATGGAGAGGGAATTTGGAGGGAGGGTTCCTTGCAACATCGCTGATGCGTCTTAGGTTTACGCTGGTCCTCCTCCCCGTCCTTCTCCGTCGAGAGAGAGGGAGAGAAAACACAAAAACGAAAAGAAAAAAAACAGGCAACACCAAAAAAACGGTCCGCCGCATGCCTCGCGACAGCTCCGCCAGGAGCACGGTGTCCTGGCTGTACGCGGCGCGCGCCGAGATGCCCTCCGGGCGGGTGTGGGCGAGCCGCGGCCTCTGCCGCCCCCCCATTGGGGGGCGAGGCCACTGGGTCGGTGCTGCACCGCCCGTGCCCTCCGCAGCCAGCGGGCGAAGTCCGCGAGCGCGCTGGGCGGCGTTACATGAGGGGGCGATAGATGTGGGGGGGAGGAGGAGGAGGAGGAGGAGGAGGAGGGAGGAGGAGGAGGAGGAGGAGGAAGGAGGAGAGGAGGAGGAGGAGGAGGAAGAAGAAGAAGAAGAAGAGGAGGAGGAGGAGGAGGAGGAGGAGGCGGACGAGCAAGAGGACGGGCAGGGGGGGAGGTGGAGGGCAGCGGAAGGGAGCAGCTGGGCGTCGCTGCATGGGGGGGCGACAAATAGGGGGGAGGGGGGAAAGATGCCCTGTCGGGCCCTAAGAGTCCCCCCTCTGGGCCTCCAGGGGTTCCTCTGGGGGCCAGGGCACCTTTTCTGTAGCCCTCGCTGCCCCGTGGGCACCTGTTCTTCCTCCTCCTCCTCCTCCTCCTCCTCCTCCTCCTCCTCCTCCTCCTCCTCCTCCTCCTCGGAGAGGAAATAACGGATGAAACATAAACTTTCGGAGCTCTGCGCCCCCCCAGTATTTCGCGCCCGATTTCTGCCAATTTGCTTGCCGATTTCTGCCGATTCCACTTCTCCCGAATTGTCTGCCGATTTCCGCCGATCCGATTCATTTCGATCGCCGATCCGATTTGTCGATTCGATTTTGGGCTCTCCTGCCCCCCCCCTTCCTCAGGAGGCCAAACTGGGTTGGGGTTTCTCCTTTGAAGGGGGCAAACCACCGACCCTTGTTTACTTCGACCCCATTTGGGTGGCCTGGCCCGTGAGGCAAGTCGTTGCTCGTCTGCCCTCCTAACCCCCTCATGTCTTCCCATCCTCCCTTCTCCTTGGGGCAACGCCGAGGGGGCAAACCACCAGGGGGCCGCCACTTCCTCAAGGAGACGTCCAGAAGTCCCGACCCTTTCCCCAGGACTGGTCGTCCATCCTGAGTCGTCGTCCTTTGACGGCCCCCTGGTCCGGCGAGGGCCCCGAAGGCCGAAAAAGCATGCAATAACGTCCTGTCGGATGATTTTTGCACGGCGCCGTCGTGCCTGGTCCCGCCTCCCTACCATACCATGCCGTACTAACCTACCATACCATACTTACCAATACCATACCGATTCCAGTCCTACCATGCCAGACCTACCACATGCCATACCTACCATACCATGCCAATACAACACCTACCATACGATGCCAACCATACCACACCACCTACCATACCAGACCATACCACACCTACAGTGCCAAAGCTACCATACCATACCGACCACTCCAGGGAAGCCACGCCGGAGCGAGAAGGGTATTCGAAAACCATGCTATGTATCAGGTGTCGTGCCCCTTCCACTCCTCCAGGGAGGCCCCGCCTGACCGAGGAGGGTATGCGCAATCCATACTATTTATCTAGCTTCGTGGCCCCCCCACTCCTCCAGGGAGGCCCCGCCTGACCGAGGAGGGTAGTCGCAAGCCATCATGTTTATCGGGATGCGTGCCCATCCCACACCTCCAGGGAGGCCCCGCCTGAGCGAGGAGGGTATTCGCAAACCATCATGTTTATCGGGATTCGTGCCCCTTCCACTCCTCCAGGGAGGCCCCGCCTGACCAAGGAGGGTATTCGAAAGCTGTGTTATTGATAAGGTTCCGTGCCCCCCCACTCCTCCAGAGAACCCCGCTTGAGCGAGAAGGGTATGCGCAAACCATACTATTTCAGCTTCGTGACCCCCCACTCCTCCAGGGAGGCCCCGCCTGACCGAGGAGGTTATTCGCAAGCCATCCTATTTGTCAGGTTTCGTGCCCCTCCCACTCCTCTAGGGAGGCCCCGCCTGAGCGAGGAGGGTATTCGAAAGCCGTGCTAGTTATCAGGATTCGTGCCCCTTCAACTCCTCCAGGAAGGCCCCGCCTGAGCGAGGAGGGTATTCGAAAATCATGCTATTTATCAGGCTTCGTGCCCCTTACACTCTTCCTAGGATGTCGTGCCCCTCCCACTCCTCCAGGGAGGCCCCGCCTGACCGAGGAGGGTCTTCGAAATTATGATATGTAGCAGGTTTCGTGCCCCTTCCACTCCTCCAGGGAGGCCCCGCCTGAGCGAGGCGGATATGAGAAAGCCATACTATTTGTCAGGTTTCGTGCCCCTCCCACCCCTTCAGAGAGGCCCCGCCTGAGCGAGGAGGGTATTCGAACACCATGCTATGTATCAGGTTTCGTGCCCCTCCCACTCCTCCAGGGAAGCCCCGCCTGAGCGAGGTGGGTATTCGAAAGCAGTGTTGTTTATCTGGTGTCGTGCCCCTCCTACCCCTCCAGGGAGGCCCCGTCTGAGCAAGGAGGGTGTTCGAAAACCATGTCATTTACCGGGTTTCGTGCCCCTCCCACTCCTCCAGGGAGGCCCGCCTCTGTCCATCTTCATATACCTTCTGTGCCCCCCCCCAGTATGCCCGCGCCCCATTGTTTTCAACCAAAACACAACAACATAATTTGGGGGGAACTCCGTTAGCATGATTCTTCTGTGGGTGCAGTGGAGGCCCATGCCAACAAACACCATCCTTCTTGGGTTTCTTGGGTTTCGATGGGTTTCTTGGGTTTCGATGGCTTCTCGATGGATGCCCTGGGTTTCTTGGGTTTCGATGGCTTTTCGATGGAAGGCGTAACGTGCCCACGCCAAAAATCAGCGGACGCCCAGGGGTCTCAGGGTTGGGTTTCTTGTGGAAATCTTCTGTGGACTGGCCTCCTCCTCCTCCTCCTCCTCCTCCTCCTCCTCCTCCTTCCCCAGACTCCTCCTCCTCCTCCTTCCCCATACTCCTCCTCCTCCTCCTCCTCCTCCTCCTCCTCTTCCTCCTCCTCCTCCTCCTCCTCCTCCTCCTCCTCCTCCTCCTCCTCTCCCCATTCCCCCTTCCTCGTCATCCCCTGGGTGCATCCCTTGGGTGCGCCCGTGGCGCTCGAGGGCGCCGCGCTGCCCTGGGCGGCGCGCACTGCGGCGGCTCCTGGGCACACTGCAGGGCGGCGGCTGGGCCTGGCCACGTCGGGCGTCATCGAGCGGCCCCCCAGGTCGCGGACCCTGGCGCGCCAGGGGAGCCGCCCCGCTGCCCAGACCCCCAGGAGAAGAGCGAGGAGGGAGGAGAGCGAGAGCGAGGAGGAGGAGGAGGAGGAGGAGGAGGAGGAAGAGGAGGAGGGAGGAGGAGACGGGAAGTTTTTCGTTCTTGGGGAGGGGTCGAGACCTCCTGGGGTCGACGTTGGAAAGAGCTTTGAGCGTTTTTTCGTTTGTTTGTCGGTTTGTTAAAAACCCAAACAAGATTCGGGCAAGCTTACTTGCATGGACGGTCTACGTGGCCCGGGCAAATTTAGTCGTCGCCGCCGTCGTCGGAGGCGCCCGGGACGACTGCCCGGGACGCCCTGGGACACTGTCCAGGGACACCCGCCTGGGACGCAGGGACACTGCCCAGGACGCCCGGGGACGCCCGGGAGTCTTTTTTCCAATATATTTTACACTCCAACAAGTTCAGGCAAGTTTACTTGCATGGAGGGGGGGAGCTGAGCCTGAAGCAGGCCGAGAACAGCGTGACGTGCGGAAATCACGCGCGTCGAAAGGCATTGGCACACTCGTATTCGATCGAAGAAGGGGCGAGGGGGGGGGGGCATGTTCGAATGCCACGCAAGCAAACTGGCCTGGATCTAAAAAAACAGGCTCCGGGACGCCCTGCACGCCTGCCGGGGAGCACCTTCGCGGGACGCCCGGGGACGCCTGTCTGGGAACGCCCGCCGGGGACGCCCCAAAAGGCCGCCCGGGACGAGTCTGGGCTTCGTCATCCACCACGGTACGTTTCCCAAGGCATCCGTCGCTCTCCCTGCGCTGGGGTCGCTTCGATTCCGATCCGATTCCAAAGAATATGTGCTGATTCGATTCCGATCTGGCTTGCAGTTTCCGAATTCTGGGCAGATGCGACGATCACCGATTTGAACACCGATTGCAAAAGACTTGGCGCGATTCCGATTCCGATCCGGCTTCGCGATTCGATACTGCTTCTGATTGGAGTACCGATGCCGCTGCCCTTCCCTCGTTTCCCCTTTTGGGGGGGCCTCCTGGGAAGCCCTCGTCGCTACGGCTGGAGTCGCTTCGAAATTCTTCTCAGAACGCGTCCCGGGAGAGGTCTGGGGAGTAGCGGTATCAGTACCTTCTGGTTCGCCCAGGGCCACCAGAGGGCGAAGCCTTGCCCGAGCTTCAATGGTCAACCACACGCGGAGGGGGGGAGGGGGAGGGGGGAAGGCTTCTTAGAAGCACCCCTGCTTCTCAGAAGGCGCGGGCCTTCTCTAAAGATGTAAGGCCGGCGCCTTCTAAGAAGCAGCCTCCTTCTAAGAAGCATTCCCCCCTCACCCTACCCCCCTCTGCGCGCCGCCAAAATGGGGCCCCCTTTGAGACGGCAGGTAGCCGTCACGGGTCTGCAGGGGGCCAGCGGGTGTGGGCCGGGAGGCCCGAGGAGATGCGGAGCTCTCTCGTCGGGAGCAATGCGGCGGGAGCGTTGGTTGAGGAATGCGCCAAGGATGCTGCAGACCCTGGAGGATCCCTTATCTGATAAGGGCGGCGGTGATGTCTATGGCCAAGCCTCGATTGGAGTTCCACTGGCCTCCAGACCCTGGACTCCTTATCTAGGGGGTCCTTATCCTCTGCCCCAACCGTAATCATAAGAACTCTGAGGTATGCGCGGGTTTCTCGGATCGGCGCTGGACCCCCCTCCTTGGCGCGCAGGGCGCGCCAGGTTCGGCGCTGGAAGCGCCGCCAGGGGGGCCCGGCGCGGATCCGAGGAATCCGCGCGGACCCCCGATGGTTATGCTGATGTCATGGTTTGCTCCCCGAATCTCCGAGGGATGCCCGAGAGCTCGAGTCGCCAAGCGCGTTCCACTACTCGCAACGTGCCTACTCGCAAACGTCCAACAAAAACATTCGTCTGCCTTTGTCTAACATATCGTAAATCCCCTGCGGCGGATTCAGGCCATTTGCGAGCAGCTACTTTGCGAGTAGTGGAACGCGCATCTCTATCGAGGTAGCACAAAGAGCAGGAGAGGGCACTTTGAGGGAGGTGCGGCAGCGAGGGAGGGGAGGCGAGGAGGGGGGGGCGAGGGAGCAGGGAGGGGGAAGGAGAGGGGAAGGGAGCAGGGGCGGAGGAGCAGGACGGGTAGGAGGAGCGAGGAGGAGGAGGAGGAGGAGCAGGAGGAGGAGGAGGGGCAGGAGGAGGATGAGGAGGAGGAAGAGGAGGAAGAGGAGGAGTCAAGGAAGGAGGAGGAACGAGGAACGAGGAGCGAGGGGGGGGAGCAGGAGGAGGAGGAGGAGGAGGAGGAGGAGGAGGACGAGGAGGAGGAGGAGGAGGAGGAGGAGCGAGGGGGGAGGAGTAAGAATACCAGTAAATTAGAGTAAGCGTAAGAGTTCCAGGACGTATGTCCAACCCTGCACCCCAACACTGAAGCCCCTTAAGGGCCCTCTTGGCCTTCTCAGCCTTCCTGTAAGGCTTGGGCCATAGTCCCCGACTGATCCTGCCAAGGTGTTCAGCACGGGTCAGGGTAGCGAAACGATTGCAAGCCTTCCCCGGACCAACTAGCTGCTGCTTGCAAAACATGTCACATGCACAGCATAACCACATATTCAAAAACGCCGTGAAATTGACAATCATGACTTAGTGGCCCCCCCGAGGTGTGCAACTCCGTATCCCTTGAAAGCGCCAGGAGAGACCCGTCCACGGGAACAAGTTGAAAGCACTCCATGGGGTCTGGAGTGCACCAGCTGCTGGCACGCGCGCTGAATCGCTCCCAGCTCCTTCGCGCCGTTGCCGCGCTGCTTGTGGCGAGCCGCTTGCTGCAGCAGCGTGGGTGCTCGCTTCCACCAGCACGCCTTCCTAGGGGACGCTCGCCGTTGCGTCCCCCTCGGCCTCGTCGTCTTCTTCCTCCGAGGCCCAGGCGCCCTCGGCGCGCGCCTGGGCCTCCACCGCCCCGCGGCGCGCGAGCTCTGCGGCCGCGAGAGCGCAAGGGCGCCCTGCTCCTCCTCCTCCTCCTCCTCCTGCTCCTGCTCCTCCTCCTCCTCCTCCGGCGCCAGCCCGTATGAAGGACTGGGCCATTTCAGTGTTTTTTTTTTTTTGAAAACGAAGACAGAAAGAGAGAGAGGGATATTGAAAGCGAGAGAGAGGGGGATTGTGAAAACTAAATACACAATCAAATAACAAAACATCTACAACATACTCCAATCCTCTTTGTGACACATAAAAAATCAAAATAAAAACGACACAGTTTCGAAATCCGAGGCGAGGACAGAGAGGAGGGCGGAGACGACGAAGACGACGAAGTCGCCGACGGCGGCGATGGTAGCTGCGGCGATGGAAAGAGATGGGGGAGGATCCTCCGACTCCCCCACCTCCTAATCCTGTACACGCACACGCTGTGGCCTTCGCCCCAACGCCGCGCGCATTCATGTCAACAGCTTCCGACAGCTACAAGAATGGAGGGCGACGCGTTTTCAAAATATTGCTCTCACCTTTAGCGCCGCGCGCGTTCGTCTACAAAGTATCCGAAGAGGGCGGTACCTGCTCAAACTCTGCCTCTCGCTTCGGACGTCTCCTTAACGCAGCTCTGTCAGGGAGGGGGTTGTGTCCCAGCCCGCCATCCCTGCATGCCGCGGCAGTCAGATCCCCAATTGCAAAAGACTTGTGGCATTACCAATAAAAAAGCATCAAAGGTTTTCGGGACCTCAAGCGGGATGTTTGGCGGTCCGAGGGGATTTTTTCAATGACAGTAATCGGTTTCCTTGATGTTGAGCCACGAAACCTGTGACACTACCAAACCCAAAGAAAACACATGTTTTCGGGACCCGAGGCGGGGGGGTGAGAGCCAGGGCAGACCGACCCCCCCCGCCTCGGATTCCGAAAACCTTTGATGCTAGTTGCTGTTGGTAGTGTCACATGTTTTTATGTGTTACTGGTTTTTTTTTTTGTTGCGGAGTGTCACCGGCTTCGTGGCCCAACGTCAAGGAAACTTGTGACTGTCATTGAAAAAACTGTCTCACTTCAGCCCGCCCTCCCCTTACCTCCCGCCTCGGGTCCCGAAAACCTTTGATGTTTGTTTGTTGGTGTTGGTTAGTGTCGCAGGTTTTTCGTTGTTGTTTTGTTTTTTTTGTTTGTTTGGAAGTGTCACAGGTTGCGTGGCCCAACGTCAAGGAAACTTGTGACTGTCATTGAAAAACGGTCTCCCCTCAGCCCGCCCTCCCCTCACCTCCCGCCTCGGGTCCCGAAAACCTTTGATGATTGTTTTTTGTTGTTGGTAGTGTCGCAGGTTTTTCGTTGTTGTTTTGTTTTTTTGTTTGTTTGGAAGTGTCACAGGTTTCGTGGCCCAACATCAAGCACACCTGTGACTGTCATTGAAAAAACAGTCTCCCCTCAGCCCGCCCTCCCCTCACTTCCCGCCTCGGGTCCCGAAAACTTGTGATGTTTGGTTTTGTTCTAGTGTCACAGGCTTGTTGTTGCTATTTTGTTGTCTGGGGTTTGTGGGGGGTGTCACAGGTTTCGTGGCCCAAAGGCAAGGAAACCTGTGACTGCCATTGAAAAAACCGCCCCCGTCTCCCACAAAGGATTTAGATTGGAATATAATTCGCTTTGATCCTGATTTCAACAGGAAGAGAGCGGATTCAGAGCCAGAGGATTTGTGTTTGAATTCGAATTAGGTTCCAGTTGGATTTCAATAGACATCCGACGGATTCCGCCGCAGGCCCCAAACGAACACTCTACAACTACATCAGCACCTACATCACATTGGCACATTCGTCAACATCAGCGTCGACATCGGCATAACAACTAAATCAAAGGTTTTCGAGAGCGGTTCCTCCTACCCGCCTCTCTCTCTCTCTCGTTCTCTCTCTCTCTCTCTCTCTCTCTCTTTCCCTTTCTTTATATATATCACAATTTCGCACCTTTGCAAAAACACTCAAACGGCCCAGGCATTCATACGGTCTTCGGCCCCTCCTCCTTCTCCTCCTCCTCCCTCGACTGCAGGAACTTCTTGAGCCCCGCGTCGTTGGTATCCTGCACAGCCCCCGTCAGGCGGCCCACCGCGCGATCGACCTCGCTCTTCTTGGCCCAGGGGGGGGGGCCTCCGTGCTGGCGCAGGAGACGAGGTCCTGCTGCTGGGAGCCGAGTCCTGCACATCGAGCGCCTGTGCGAAGGTGACCCGTTCGGGGCTGCGGCCTGCTGAGACTTGGTAGTGAAGGGCCTCCCGTTGACTCCACACACGCATGCTGGTTCCCTTTCTTGGCAAGAGTATCGTCACACCCGCATATGTGGCAGCTGTTGCATCGTCTCCAGGGACGAGCAGAACCTGTCATCGAAGAACCCTCCTGCTTTGCTCGACGGACCCCGAAGTGGCGGGACGGGATCCGACGTGCCTCAAGCGTCACGGGCAGGCACAGGAGACTTGGGACGAGGGCACCACCCTCAAGCCAGGATGGCTTGAGGCGACGGGTAGGAAGAGGAGGATGAGGAGGAGGAGGACGAGGAGGACGAGGAGGCGGAGAACGAGCGAGGAGGACGAGCGAGGAGGTGGTGGAGGAGGAAGAGGAGGAGGACCAGTGGAAACCCAAAAGTCATCAACGATAGTGGGATAAACCCTCCCTCCAATCTCCCTCTTCATAGGCCCCTACAACGGTTCATTTCCATTGAGGGAACTGCTTAGCTGGAAGACATCCGTTTGACCACCGCGAAGCATGCCAAGACATTGTTCTCGGGATTCCAACGCCACGGATCAACCTGATTGTTGCGTCTTGACGATCCTGAATCGTGCCAGAACGCCATTCTTGGGACTTCAACACCGCGAACCAACGTAACTGTTGCACCCGCATAATCATGAATGCGTCCAAAACACTATTTCGGGTACGCTGGCCACGAGAACCCGTGGAGCCTTGCAATTTGCATAGACGAATGCGCGCGGCGCAGGGCGAGAGCCACAATTTGAAAAGGAATCGCCCTCAACCCGTGAAACCCTTGCAAATGTTTAGAACGAATGTGCGCGGCGCTAAGGCGAGAGCCACAATTTGAAAACGGGTTGTCCTCAATCCATGAAGCTGTTTGCACGTGTTTAAACGAATGTGCGCGGCGCTAGGGCGAGAGCCACAGTTTGAAAACCATCCGCCCTCCATCTGTGACACGGGTGCCAATGTTTAAGCTTCAGAGTCATAAACAAGTGAGGAAGTCTCGGGCAAAACGCCTGGCCCGCCCTAACAAATGGCCTCAGGGTGCGACAGGGAGTTAGCAGGAAAAGGAATTGAGGAGGGGGAGGAGGAGGAAGAGCGAGGGGAAGGAGCGAGGGGCAGGGGAAGGAGCGAGGAGCGATGGGGGAGGAGCGAGGGAGAGGAGGAGGAGCGAGGAACGAGGGGGAGGAGCGGAAGGGAGGTGCGAGGGGGAGGAGCGAGGAGGAGGAGGAGCGAGGAGGAGGAGGAGGAGGAGCGAGGAGGAGGAGGAGGAGGAGGAGGAGCGAGGAGCATCAGCAGCCTCGGCGAGGAGCGGCAGCAGCGTCGGTGAAGGAGCGGGAGCACGAGGGGGCGCGATGGGGGCGCGGACGGGCCGCCGCAGAGCCAGGGCTGCTGCTGGCCAAGCAGCTGCTGGAGAAGAAGAAGCAGGCGCCGCGCGGCCACGGATCGGCCGCGCGCAGAGAGGAGGAGGAGGAGGAGGCGGCGGAGGAGGAGGAGGAGGAGGAGGCGGAGGAGGAGGAGGAGGAGGAGGAGGAGGAGGGGGAGGAGGAGGAAGAGGAGGGGGAGGAGGAGGAGGAGGACGACGACGACGACGTCGTCGTCGTCGTCGGGCGGCCGTCGCAGGGTGCTCTCGGGCCGTCTGGCGCCATCGGAGGCGGCCGTGAGGCCAGGGGGTACCCCTGCTGCTCAGAGGGGGCGGCCCCAGCTTGTGGATCAGGCGATCGCGAACATGGATCAAGGGTGCGTGGATTAGCGACGGGTCCTGTTGCTATGGGAAATCACTGATTTCCGCCGCCGAACGAGGCCGCACCGGCCTCATTTTGGGGAGGCCCCCCCCCGATCCATGGATTTGGCGACCGCGCGCCAAATCTATGGATCGCTGAATTTTCGTAACAAGTATACATGCCCCATACGTGTCCACTTTGTTAGACTGTCTGAAATACTGCTATGTAAGTACATGTACATGAATAGACGTTTACATCTGCGGATATGTATGTGTATATGTATTCATAGCCGGTCGTGGCAACGTAGGCGTGTTACAAGGCGCGCGGATGTGTGACCATGCGATTGATAATTTTATGTGATGCGCATGCATTTGGGTATGGGTACACAAGCGTGTGTATGTGTATAGATAGACACAAACACAGATAGTTGCACACACATCTATACATACATATATATATACGCTAAGCCAGCGTTGTGCAATGTGAAACCACGCCCAAGCGTGATTGCATGGGGGCGCGAATGGTGTCAAAACTGCCTCGCTCCCTGGCGGTCTTTGCAGCTATGATGGCGGGCGTTCGTTCGGCCCGGCCAGGACTGGCGTCCCCCGCGGTTCCTCCCCTCCCAGACATGACATCGCATCGTGGAAAAAATCACGACTGTAGGTTTTTGGCCATTCTCGGCCTCTGGGGGTCCTCGCCAGGCCCCGGGGCCGTCAAAGAACGACTTGGGATGAAAAATTGGTCCCGGGGAAAGGGTCGGGTATTCTGGGGACTCAACAGAAAGAGAAGCAGGGCCGACGATTTTCCAGGGCTGGACCACAACACTGTTTTGCTGGACGCCGGCTGTGCTTTATTGTTCGTTTTGGCAGGGAGGTACAGGAAAACACATAGAGCAAAACGAAAAACAACAACGAAAATCCAACGAAACACAACGTTTAGGTCCAGCCCTGCTATCCTGGTCCCCTCGTCCCCCCCAGGGAAGAGATCGCAACAATAATAGTGAGCACGAAGACACGTGGAAGACGGACGGGAGGAGGTGGACATGGATTAGGGAGGGGCGGAGGAGGAAGGAAGGAGGATGCCTCCAAAACGAGAGGGCGGGAGGGCGTTGTCACTGGATGACTCAGGCGGCGAAGGACAAACTCAACGAGAAGACCATGAAGGCGTTGGGCAAGATGGGTGGCCACCCCTTCCAGCCCGCGCGCCCATCCACTGCATCGCTATGATCACCATGCGCGCCACTGCCACCACCATCACCACCCATTAGTTCCAATCACCTGTCGTGGTGCTGCTCCGCTGCCGCGAGCCAGGCCAACGTCCACTGTCCATCCTACCATGCGGTGAGGACTCGTGCGTTTCATGGTTTAGTTGCTCCGTTGTCTGTGTGAATGCGTGCGTGTGTGCGAATGTGTGTGCATGTGTTGTGTGCGCGCGCGTGTGTGTGTGTGTCTATGTGTGTGGTGTGTGTGCGTGTGTGGGTGAGTTGTGAGTGAGTGGATGGGTGTGTGTGCTACATCGCCAGAGCAGGCACTCTGCCTAGCCGCCGACGCAAATGTGTGTCTGTGTGTCTGTGTGTGCGTCTGTGTGTGCGTGTGCGAGTGCATGCGTGTGCGTGCGCTGTGCGTGTGCGTGTGCGTGTGCGTGTGCGTGTGCGTGCGTGCGTGCGTGCGTGTGCGTAGTGCGTGTGCGTGTGCGTGTGCGTGTGCGTGTGCGTGTAGGTGTGCGTGTGCGCGTGCGTGTGCGTTGTCGTGTGCGCGTGCGTGTGCGTTTTGCGTGCGCGTGCGCGTGCGCGTGCGCGTGTCGCGCGCGCGTTCGCGTGCGTGCGTGCGCGTGCGCGTGTGTGTGTGTGTGTGTGTGTGTGTGTGTGTGTGTGTGTGTGTGTGTGCGTGTGTGTGTGTGTGTGTGCGTGTGTGCGTGTGTGCGTGTGTGCGTGTGTGCGTGTGTGCGTGTGTGCGTGTGTGCGTGTGTGCGTGTGTGCGTGTGTGTGTGTGTGTGTGTGCGCTTGTGTGTGTGCGCGCGTGTGTGTATGTGTATGTTTTTACGTGTTTGTGTGTGTGTTTGTGCGTGCTTGTGTGTGTGTCTGTATGCGTCTGTCTCTATCTGTGTATGTCTATGTTTGTGTATGTGTCCATGAGTGTCCGTGTGTGTCCGTGTATGTCCGTGTGCCGTGTCCGTGTCCGCGTGTCCGTGTCCGCGTGTCCGTGTCTTATGTCCCAGGCCCCCAGACGTAGAAGAACAGCCTGATTCGGTTTCGCCCAATCCGTCGGCCAGTCCTCGAAGTCGCCCCGTTTTTGCCTGCTGCCTTAGCCTCCAACACAACACCATGTACTTTACAGCTTACGTTCCAAACGCACAACGAAGTACTCACAGCCTCGCTCTCTCTCTCTCTCTTTCTCTCTCTCTTTCTCTCTCTCTCTCTCTCTCTCTCCCTCCAGCTCAGCGCCCAGTATTCCACATGCTCAGTATTTGACGCATCCAGTATTGCACAGGCTCCATCTCCAAAGCGATTTTCGCAGGAGTTGTATCCAGCTGCCTGCGACAAACCCCGCCACCGTGCCTGTGCAATTGCGCAGCAGGACGGAGGCTGAGTGTAGGAACAGTGCAATTCAAACGAGTAGTCGGCGGTGGAGCCAGTCGTGATCCCGACCTCGTCTTCGTCCGCGCGGTAGGGAGGAGGAGGTGGAGGAGGAGGAGAGGGAGAAAATGAGGAGGAGGAGGAGGAGGAGAAGGCTTTTTGGAGCCTTCGTGGGGCTTCATGGGGGCCTCCTGGGAGTTTCCTGAAAGCTTCTCGGGGGCCTCTTGGGGGCATCATGGGGCCTCTTGGTGGCATATTGGAGCCTCCTGGGCCGACGTAGGGAACTCTTGACCCGTCTGACGCCTATGGAGGCCGCCTTGAGCGCCTTTCTAGGCAGCGTTAGTGCCCTCTTGGAGCAGTTCACAGCCGTCTTGGGGCCATTTGGGGAGCTCCTTGGGCGATCTTTGAGTCTTCTTGGGCCAGCTTGGGGGCCTCTGGGGCCCTCTTGGGTTGTCTTGAAGCTATCGTGGGGGTCTCTTGGAGCCGTATTGGGCTGTCATGGGCGGCCGGAAACCTGAACGGGTACGAACTTCAAAACCGGTCAAAAACCTAAGGATAATCATTGTTGTTGGCCGCCTCGGGCTCCCCAGGAGGCCATTTTGGAGAACCCTGGGGCCTTCTTGGGGGTTTCTTGATCTGTCTTTGGAGCCTCTTGGGCCGTCTTGGGCCATCTTGGCGTCCTCTTGGTTGCCTTGAACGCCGTTCTGGAGGACAGGAGGCTCCCAAGAAGGCCTCACGACACCTCCAAGGGCCCTCAAGACGGCCCAAGGGGTCTCCAAAAGGCCCTTTTTGAAGGATTTTGAGGTTCTGGCACGTCTGAATGTCAAATCGTACAAGAAAGCACACGGGGCCTCTCTGGGCCGTCATACTGCTCTCTGAGAGCGCTTGAAGTCCTTCTTGGGGCCTTCTTTGGGAGCCCAATTGGGCGATCGTTGGGTCCTCATTGCCCGACTTGGGGCCTTCTTGGGGGCATCTGGGGCTGTCTTGGAGCTATATTGGAGGCTTCTTGGAAGCCTCTTGGGCCGTCCTGGGTGGCCAGAATCCCTACCAGGCGAGAACTCCAACATCTTTCAACATCCGAAGGAGAATCAACGGGTTGGGCCTCCTTTCGGGCTCTCCAGGAAGGCCTCTTGGAGCTCTCTTGGACCGTCTTGTTGGCCTCTTGGGCAGTCGTGAGGGCCTCTTAGGCTATCTTGAGCCGAGCTGTCTTGGGCCTTTCTGAGCCGTTTTCTTTTCGTGTTGGTTATCCTGGAATCCGTCTTCGAGGCCATCTTGACTGTCTGGAGGCCGAAAAGACCGCCAGAAAGCAACTTCAGAAGGGCCTTAACATTTGGCATAACCTCCCAGGCAACAGACGCACATTCGAACGCGTCCACTTAGTGCAGGCACGGTGGCGGATTAAAACCAGAGCCCGTCGCCGCCGCCCGCCGCCCGACCCGCCCGCCGCGCCCACCGCTCCAACACCGCACCCAGTAAGTACTCCACAGCCTCCGTTTCCAGCACAGCAGCCAGTATTTCACAGCCTTCGTTTCAGACGCACGCACACACGCATACACTCTTACTCCACAGCCTCCGTCTCCAACGCAACACCCAGTACTCCACAGCCTCAGCCCCCAACACACATCCCAGTACTCCACAGCTTCCGTCTCCAAGGTAGCCTCCTTAGGAGTTACACTACAAGCCCGAACCCTTTCGCCGCCGCCGCCGGCCCCGCCCGCCTCTGCAACGCAACACCCAGGGTCTCACAGCCTCCGTCTCCAACGCAATACCCTTTATTCCGCAGCCGCCGTGCTCAACGCGCACCCCAGCACTCCACAGCCTCCGCCTCCGACGCGACACCCAGCCAGCCTCCGTCTCCAAGCCGAACCCCAGTGTCAGTGTTTCACAGTCTCCGTCTCCAACGCGGCCCTTTCAGGAGCCCGGGCCCGCCCGCCGCCCGACGCCCCGCCCGCCGCCCGCCGCCCGTCAGGAATGAAACCGAGCCCGCGCGCCGCAGCCCGCCGCCCGCCCCGCCCGCATCTCCAACGCCGCACCCAGAACTCCACAGCCTACGTCTCCAACGCAACACCTGGCACTCCACAGCCTGCGCTTCGAAGCAACACCCCGCTGCTCCACAGCACCCGCCTCCAACGCAGCACCCAGTATTCCGCAGCCTCCGTCGCCAACGCACGCACGCACGCACGCGCACGCGCACGCGCACACACATACACACGCACACGCACACGCACACGCACACGCACACGCACACGCACACACACACAGACACAGACACAGACACAGACACAGACACAGACACAGACACACACACACACACACACACACACACACACACACACACACACGAGTAGTTACTCCACAACCTGCGTCTTCAAGGCGGCATCCTCAGGAGATGTCAAGCATACTGAGCCTGACCCGCCCGCTGCCGCCGTCCGCCGCCCGACCCGCCCTGCCCCGCGCGCCGACACCACGCGCAGTATTCCGCAGCCTCCGTCTCGGAAACAAGACCTGGTACCCCGCAGCCTACGTCTCCAACAGACACGCCACTACTCCACATCCATCGTTGCCAACTCAGCACCCAGTACACCGCAGCTTCCGTCACCAACGCACGCGCACATACCAGTACCCCGCCGCCTTCGTCTCCCAGGTCGGCTTCATTAAGAGTTGCGTGCGATGTTGGTCGGAGAGGGCCAAGAGTCGCGCGCCCCCTAACAATATGCGTTCTGCGGCATACGTGGAGCAGCATGTGTGGCGCAGTTATTTTCGAAGAAATTGTAACGCGGCGGGATTGCGACGACAGCTCGGCGCATTGTTGCGGCCGCGCTGGCGCGCGCAGGCTCTCGCGCAGAGCGGCCAGTTAGTCTGGCGCGACCGACGCGACCGCGGTGGCGCTGACAGCTGGGGATTCCCCAGCGCGTCTCGCAGCAAGCGGTGACGCGCGGACGCTTTAGCGCGAGTCGGTGACCCGGGCGGGTGCGGTATTTGGGTGGCGTCGAGGTAGACGCGATGATGATGGTACAAATGTCATTGACGATAGATGACGGAGGCAAGGCCAATGGCAGCGCCGACGTTGGTCACGGCGATAACAACGATGGCGCCCACGCCTCGGTGATGAAACGACAGTCGCGCGCCAGTAGCCCGCATGGCATTGTTCGACAGGGGTCGTGCCTTCACCCTCCTTTCCCTGCAAGCGCGCAGGAGCGTTCGATTGATGCCGACATGAGGGGGGCCCGTGTAGTGCTATGTCACGGCCACGTTGGAACCAATGATCTTCAGAAGGACGCGCAAGAACAAGCGCGCAGCTTGATTTTTTGTTTCGATATTGAAGTCCGCTCGGAGACCACGGGCGCCGCGGGATTCGGGCATGCGCGCACGACGCCGCGCGCGCGTAGATGATGCCCCGTCCGTTGCACAGGTTGGGGGGATACCGATGTTTGAAGTGCGCGCGTCGCGTTTGTTGGCAACGATGGGGGGGTCGATGAGGGCATTCCGCGGGGTGGTATGAATTTGCATGTCAAGTGAACGATGGTGCACCACCACGCCCAAGAAAGTGCTCCAGGGGATGTATATAAACCCCTGGGGTAGAGTTTGTATTCCTTTCGGGCAA